ATTACAGAGTATGAAAAACTACAGTTTTTAAGATGTGGATCCATGTCCTCTGAAAATTTTGTGCATCATTTTTCCCACTGGAGCCTTAGCTTCACAAAAATCTATGACTACTGCTGCCATAGGGACAATAGCAAAACTACTAAATGCATTGCCATGAAAAAAGCAAAGGAGTCTGCAGCCCTGCCAGAACACATAACTCTCCATCATTTAGAAAGCTGCAATGATATTTCAAGACTGTACATGATTTTAAATAGCTTGAAGAACCGTTTGACCAAAGAACATGCAGCAAACACAAGGCAGAAAAAAACTTACCATCCCTCCTGGAAAAGTAATCCTTTAAAAAAACCCACAGCAAGCAAACAACTTATTTCAGTAGCTTTTAAATCTTTTCCTTTTTTTCCCTTCACACCAGCTCTGGAGAGCTACTTCAGTTGTTCAACACAAGAACTTCCTAAGTAGGTAGCAAACAAAACTTGCTCAGCTAGCCTGTTTAAGTGCATTTAGCAGGTACTGCAATCTCTAACCTTTCAAACAAATGTTTTTATTTCCAGATAGTTGTAGGGGAACAGACTGCAAGGTTGCTGCTCTGAACACATCAGATGGGAATTTCTGCAGCTCAGTGAAAGCCCTCTGCAAGCTGCAACGAGGGATCTGGAGCACTGACACAGAGCCACAGGCAAGTGAGAACCTGCAATGAGATAGGGCACTTACACCAAAAAAATTTACTCAAGTAAATCCAGGAGACTTATTTCCATGGTCAAGTACATATTGTGATGAATGAGGACTTTCCTAGAATACTCTGTGAATAGAGTGTGCAGATCTGGCTCTTGGGCTGTTTCCTGCCTGCATATGTACGCTCACGTGACTGCTGTAAGGAAAAGCAAGCATGGAAGAAAATCAGTGGCTCAAAAGAGGTGACAGCTCTCCAGAGAACTGCAGATTTGAATTTTCCAGGGTACATGCAAGCTATTTTTCCCAGAAAGCCAAATCCTACAAAAGCAAAGTTCTGATGTTAGGAACCGATCTCTGTCCCAAGTGAGCAAGTAACTGTCTGAGGTCCTGCCAGAATGGAAACTTGTCCTGTTGTAGGTTAAAATTCTTCTCCTTTTATTCCCTTTCTTTGGGAATTTTTTTCTTTCCCATTTGTTGCTAGGATACGTTAATTGCCGGTCATCCTTTTAATTGCTGGGTGATTAGCAAAGACAATGATACCTATGCCACACCCTAATAGTCTGGCCAAGTGCTCAGGAGAGTTTTTTTTTGTTTGGGGGGGGGGGGATTTGCAGTTTTTGTTTTCGCTGCTTCGCAGAGAGGAGGTTTTTTTCTGCTTGCTAGCCGCTACAGAAAAAAGCTAGCCTGCCTTCTTCTTCTGCGGAGACCAGCACCCCCGCTCATTGAGTTCCTGCTTGCTGCACCGTAGTTTTCTCTCCTGTGCCTGGCCGGAGATCCCAGCTTCAGGGGGTGAAGTCTGCTCCATCCCATCTCGCAACCGCGAGATTCCTGCTCGTCTCTTTGCAATCCTGAATTTTTGCTGTCCAGAAAAGCAAAACTCACAGTTCGCTGTGAGTTTTGTAGAGAAACTTTTCTCCATCCACCTCTGCCATTTTATATCAATCATTAGTGACGCGGGAGATCTGAGCCAGCTGGGACCCGCGCAACCACATCCCCTGCAGCCTCCGAAGAATCGTCGCACCCTTCCTGCCCGGCCGGGAGCCAACAGCGTCTCTGCCAACAGAACTATAACTTCACCAAAAAAAGAGACTGTATCTCTGTAAAGCTGTCACTAGGTTTAAGACTGGGCTGTGTGTTGCTATTGTTATTGTTACTTGTTTCACCTTGATATATATATATATATATATATATATATATATATATATATATATATATATATATATATATAAGTAAAAACTGTTATTCCCTTTTACCATATTCTTACCTAAAAACCCGTAATTTTTTCAAAGCTATAATAATTCAGAAAAAAGGAGAAGAGTCATATCCACCACTCCAAAAAACGTTCCTGCCTTCATTAGCAAACACCTATCTTTTCAAACCAAGACATCTGTCTGGGCTAAGTATGCAAAAGAAAGTGGACATCTTATTGGGTATTTCCTTTTTTTGGAAATACTTTCCTCTGTGTTGGCTTGTTGCTGAATACTATGAATTGTACATTTTCACAGCAGTTAGGTGTCTACATTGTATGATACACATACACAGAGGTAGTAGATAACAAGGCAATTGCTCCCTAAGCCCATGCCAAGATGGGGACAGATGGCCACCTACCCTTGCAAATGTGACTCTCATATTTCTACAGCTTTCCTTCCCTCCCAGTAAAAGTGCGCTTTAAAACCATGTTCTGTTGTCATGCATTCCAAGGAAAAAGGGAAAATGCCTGCTGAATAGGACAGACAGAAACACTGATTACYGTGTTTCCTCTTTTCAGACTGGGAAAGGACAAATCTTACAGGTTTTGATGGGGTATTGCTTCTTCAGCAATCCTCAACAGGATCTCTGCAGCAGTCTGTGTAACTTATTTCTGTACTTGTTTGAGTGGATCAAAGTCTAGGACTGATTCAATTTTCGTTAAGACTTTTTTAAAAATTTAGTTATGGGACATAATGTGCACCCCATTATACATCTGGTATATACATAACTACACTCAAAATACATATGSTCTCACAGACTAAAGGGGACCTAAGGCCCATAAGTGAGACCAATTAGAAATACATAAAGCTTTGGTATGTGCTGCCATCAGAGGTCAAATATTTCAGAGACAGGACATCTCTATGATGTTGTGACTACTAACTGAGAGGAAACTACTGGAACTCTCTACATTCCCTCAGTGTTGCCTAGAAACCAGGGGAATAGCTGTGACATATTTCTAAAAATGCTTACTTACGTTTGTATGTTTTAATTATCTACATGATGGAAAGAAGTACAGGAATTTGTCATATGGGTTGGACAGAACAGACTAACACTGCATGTTGAGTACTACGAACTGAGAATTTGGGAACCTGATATTCAGACTTCAGATAAAGAAACAAAAAAAAAGTCTTTAAAAGGTACAGAAAGGTTACTATGAGCAGCAATTTAATTTTGTGAAAGGAAAAAGCAAACAGAGATGAGTGTTTTCTGCGACTTGATCTCTGCAGTAGAAAGTATGATGGACATCTTTGTAGAGGTGAGAATCTTGTACACTTCTTTTCATTTTCAGTATCTTCAGGTATCTGAAATGGAAACTGTTTAAAGACTATCTATCTCTACCTCTAAAAYTCACAGATTTAATGATCTTTTATCGAAGTATAAACCAGAGACTCTGAAACACAAGAACTATGGTAACTAATTTCTGAAGCCCTTTCCCCAAATCTCTAATTTCACACACAATCAAGTATCTGCTTCAGAGAAAAAAAACCAACAAAACTAACAAAAACAATCAAACAAAAAAACACACAAAAAACCCAAAGCAAACAAACAAAAAAACCAAAAAAGCAATCCAAAAAACACCCCAAAAAACAAACAAAAAAACAAAAACCAAAACCAAACCAAACCCAAACCAAACCAACCAAAGAAAATCCTCCACACACAAACTGTTGGATTGTGGTTTTCTTGTTTTGTAGTTTTTTCCTGGCAGATACTTTCCAAGACATTGACCTCAGATCTAAGAGACAAGAGAAAATGTCAAAATGCTATCAAATTCTTTTGCTTTGACAAAAAGGTAAGGTGTTTTTAACTTTATGGTTAACAGCAGTTGAAATGCCAAGGCAACTGACACTTTTATATAAAAAGCAATGAGAGAGACACAGGACCAGCAGAGGACGGAGGACTGATAAATTTCCACAGCATTCATTCCGTTCTCCAACCTCTCCCAGACAAACCTGACACATACTACATTTAAGGATGATTTTATACAAAACAGAATTAGACTTCCAAAATGATCACTACTACATGAAGCATAAAACCTAAGGCCAGAAGTACTTTATATAGCTTCTGAAGTAAGAGTATATCTAAATACAGRTATATCTAAAATTAAAAGGGACATCACAACACTCAATAGTCAGACTACTACTGAAAAGGTTTTTGAAGGATTTGGTAGAGTATACAAAAAGTACTGGGGCAGATAAACTAGAGGATTCATCCAGCATGTATGGCTGTGTGAYCAAATGGGAGCTTTGACTGAGACAGACATAAGAAAAGTTGTTTTCAAGTAACAGCCCCTTTATTTTGCTGTGATTTTCCACTTCATTCGAATTATTTTTCCTAGCATGTAAGGAAGTGTATCAAATCACATAAAATGTTGTATTTAGCCTGCAATTAAAACTCATTTCTAGRTAGTGAAGGGGGAATGCCCCTCCATCTGGGACAACAGGTACCCTTTTGTGACTTGTCTGGCTATGGAGGAGACTGCAGTACCCCTGGCCCGACAGTGAGAAAAATATTCACACAAAAAAAGTACAAAAGCCCTCCGTGATTTCACACTAAGGAAAATAGCAATCTGTCAGACAAAATGTAAATAAAACCCTACTCCTTCTTCAGAAAGTCCAGCAAACCCAGCACATCGGCATGCATACATTAATCAGTGATGGGATAAAAGGCTACTTTTCAAAAGCTTATTCTGTAGTTCATTTCTAAGGTGTTGTTCATTTCCAAAGATATTGAGAATTAATTTCTTCAGCGTAACACACTGGGAACGCTCTAGGCTGTCGCTTTGTCACTCGTTCCCTGAAATATGATCAATTTGCCGCAAATTTCTCCCAGGCATTCATTAATCTTCAACTTCCCGTCAAGCWACAAGAAAAAGGCTCCGATAATGAGGGGACAAAACCTTGTCGGGACCGCAGAACACCGCTCCAACGGGCCCCTGCGGCCCCTCCCGTCCCGCCAGCTCCGGCGGGCGCTGCGAGAGCGAGCCCGGCTCAGGGCGAGGCCTCCGCGCTCCCGCCGCCATGGCAACGCCGCGCCGGCCGAGGCGGCCCCGGCCCGCGCCCCGCCCCGCCCGCCCGCCCGCCCGCGGGACGAACCGCCGTAGCCGCCGAGCCGAGCCTCGGCCGGTGCCCCCGCTGCGGGCCCGGGCGGGAGGATGGGGCTGAAGATGCAGAGCGGCAGCAGGCGGAGCCGAGGTGCGGGGGGCTCGGTGGCGGCTCTGGGGGAGCGRAGAGCGCTGGCCGCGGGGCGGCGGGGGCTGCCTGCCGGGGGGACGCGCTGCCGACCGCCCTCCCCCGTCCCTGCCGGCCGTGGGGGTGCGGGGCACGGTCCGTCTCGCCCGGGGCTGGGGGCAGGCGGCGCCTCCGCCTTCCCCGCTAGCGTGAGGGAAGCACGGAGCCGGCAGGGCCCGCGGGGCGAGGGGCCGCCGAGCCGCCCCGGGTGTGCGGCGGGCGCTCAGGGGGTGCACGCGGCCGCCCCGAGCTGTGCCGGTCCGTCCGTCTCGTGTGGGGAGCGGTGGGGCCGCCATGGAAAGAGCCGAGTGCTGCTGCTGTGGCAGGAGACACGCACAGCCTGGGACGGGCTGTAATCCTCCGAGAGTCGCGGCCAGGAATGGTGCGTCCTAGAGCCGCCATCGCGTGGTACCTCCTTACTGTACGGACATCGAGCGCCTCGGGCTGCCGGATCGGCCGCCGTGATTGCGAGGCSCAAATTTCTCGGCCAGTTTTTTTCCTTAGTCAACTTTCGTCCTCTCCAAAGCTGTTATTCATGGGTTATTATAATGGATTGTAGCCTGGGCGTACAACCCGTGTGTTTGGCTGTAGATCCAGGTGTTTTAGTTTGTTGTTTAGATGTTTCTGCATCTATTTGCTAACTTCATCCATCTTTGATAAGAACTAGGAGCATTAGTGTCATCCAGTTTTTTGTTGAAAAAACAAAAGACTGCAAAGTTCTAAAGGTCTTATAAGGTGATTCCTTACCCGTATTTAACCATCTGTAAGCTCTTCTGGTGCCCTGTTCCTATGAATAATCCTAGGGGCATTTGTTATATATGATAAMAGAAGCACAAACATGCAAAAATGCTTGCACGAGCCAACTCTGGCTCTTGGAAAGTACCTAAAATATTTTTAGATATGAACTGGATTAYATGCATAATGTAAAATAGTGTAGGAATTATTCAGTGTTGTACTGTAATGTCAAGATCATACAGAGCTGCATAAGGTCAGAGCCATTTGAGATAACGTTTCACTGTTCTGTTGCATCTCAGTGTCAGTTCCAATCTTTGGAGACAGTGACAGATGCCACTTCAGAAGATGTCTGATATCAAAGTGCAGTTTGAACAGAAATATGAAATTCAGAGCAAAAACTACTATCTAGTGCTCCCAATTTTTATGCTCTGTTATAACCGAAACTGTGAGGGCAGTTCTATGCCAAGTACATCCTTTACCGACTATTCTTAGTTTGCCAAAATATTTTTATAGACAATCAGAAAGTATGCTGATTGTTGACCATAAAATGGGAATATATAGGATACACGATCTACATTTCATTCAGGTTGCAGCAAGCTTTGCTTGAATGACTTCTTTTTAACAAAAAAAAAAAAAGTTCAAAAGTAGGGAAAAATTACTCTGTGTCTATTAAATCGGGAAGCCACTGCTTGTCTGCATAGGAGGTTACAGAGGAGTCAGAAGTGTGTGCCTGAGCAGCCCAGTGTATGGGTTCTCAGGCATGCAGGAAGGATCCTTACAAAGAGCAAGGATTAGCGCAGGTGGAGATACTAAAACGCTGAGCTGGAAATCTGTGTGYCTGAGCAAACTTGGCAGAACATAATTGGGTTGCTTGCAGTTCATGGAAGAGGGAGAAGACATGTTTATGGTTTCTCAAGAGGCAGTTTTATCCACACACTGGGTATCTATTAATACGGAAGAGGTAGGATGCACTGTTCAATGTCCGGGTTATATGCCATGCAAAGTTTCTTGTTCAGACTTAGCCTCATCAGTGTAAAGAAAGAGCCAAAATTTTATACTTGTTTTGTATCAGGCCTTGTTTTGTCTAGTGAGARTAGTGGGCAAACAGAAATGTTGCTGTATATTGGAATGTATAGGATTTGCATGTAGGTCTTGTCAAAGTTCAAATAAGGCTGAGATTTTTTTAGCCTCATAGAAGTATTGAAGAATTAATCTGTTATGTTTTTCCCTAATTCCAGGTATAAACCTCAAAGTTATACTGTAGTAATTTCCGAAGTCAGTTAATATACTCGCAGATTTATAGTATGACCTCAAATAATCTGAATACTGTAATATAAAACCCGCTTTGTTGTTTAAATCCAGTCTTTTGCGTTGGGCTGTTTAATTCCTGTAGCCAGTGGGAATATGTACCTGAACAGCAATACCTAACAGCATCATACACTTACTGTTAATCACACCTTTGTGCCCCTTTTAAGTCAGCATTACTGCTGCATGGCAGCTGTTGTTAGGTTTAGGCAGTTGGCACAGGCTTCCAAGATTTAAAAAAATAAGTTGCTTAATGTGTTTACAGACAACACCATCTTATTTAGATTTTTCCTGCATTGTAGGAAATCTGACTGGAGCTTAAAGGGTGTTAATGCAGAGACTGGTGAACTGCTGGGTTTTTTTTGTTCATTTGTTTGCCAGTTGAACAAACAGCTTATTAAACTTATTAAACTATTAGTTTGGTAGCATCAGTTCAGTTTTCAAAAGCTGAAGTTTTCTTTGACCAACAAGAAAGATGAAAAATAATCCAGTTATGTCTTCAAAGAATGAAGTTTTATTTGAAACATAGTAATTTTAACTGAAATTGGGAAATGTTAATCACTGTTCTTAACCTTTTACCAAATTAAAACCTTCACTCAGTGAATCTCTTAAAAACCTATCCTGAATTTAACCATTAGTCAAATAGTCTATTTAGTGAGTTTTCGTCACTTCATGTGCTTAAAATCCTGTCTCTATGGGGCAGATAGCTTAAATGCCTAACTGCTCCCATTTTATCAAACATTTCTTGCATGCTACAAGTGAAACACCTGTTAAAGTAAACAGTGTTCAAACTATTAACCCTGTTAGCTTCTTTGCTCTAGATTATATTCTGCATTTTTTTTCTGAAGTACAGTGTGTCCAGGTTTCTCTGCTCTCCATTCTGGGTGAGGCTGGCTTGTTTTGATAATGTACTTCCAGATAGAAATAGGGGAGGGGGAATGTTAATAACACTAAGGAGATGAGGGAGAAGGCATCTTTGTAGGTGCAGATTATACTAGAAAAAGGGATTTTTTTTTCCATACATGTGGAAGAATCTGCATCTAGTGTGTCTATACATTTATGTATTTGTTGTGTCAGGTGTGCTCATGAGCCAGAGTTGTCCCTGCCTTGAACATTAGCACCATTCCCACAGGGGAGCTGTTACAGCACATGGCAGTGTGTGCTCCTGGATTACCRTGTATGTTCTGTGCAGGCACAGCTATCCAGGCAACTCAGATTAGTAACCTTTTAAAACAGAAGTTTCTAAACTGTGGTATGAATGTTGATCATTGTTCACTATCACTTAGTAGCATCATACAGTCACTTGTAGAACATCATCCCTCACACACCTTTCTAGAAGATCAGAAACTGCTGGTGCCACTGCTAATTGTAAAGGTGCTGCCCGAGCCGGTGATCATAGAATTGTTCAGGTTGGAAAATACCTTCAAGTCCAACCATCAACCTAGCACCACCACCATGTTCACCATTTAAAGTGTGTCCTTTGGTGCCATATCCACACATTTTTAGAACACTTCCAGAAATTTTGACTCCACGGCGTCCTCAGCCAGTCACTTCCAGTGCTTTGCAACCCTTTTCATGAAAAAAAAAAAATTTAATAGGTGATCTAAACCTCCTCTGGCATAGCTTGAGGCTATTTCCTCTCATCCTGTTTCTTGTTACCTGAGAGCAGAGACTGACACCTGCCTCACTATACAGCTTCCTTTTAGGTAGTTGTTGCAAAGGAGCAATAGCTTGGATCCAGAACTTCCCTTACTGGTCATGGGAAGCCTTTCAACAAATATTTTTCAAGAATTATTTAATCAAATATTACTCAATTAGCATGTATGAAGGCTACTGTACTGTTTCATTAGATTCCTGAATTTTTTCAGAGGAGGGTTTGACTCTTGAAACAGTATTYCTCTGAAATACAGTTTTGGTTGCATGGTTTTAATTTAATGCAGTATACTATAAGACTATTAATTCTAAAGGACTTAAAGACCTAACTCCTAGGCACTGAGAGTATGTATAAAGAAGAGCTTTTGTGTAATCCAGCACAGTAAGTGTATAAATAGCACCCATCTTATTAATGGCTTAGAAGCTTATGTGTAGTGCGTGTCAGGGGGTGTAGCATTTTCAACATATTTTGCCTGTGACACAAATGATCCCATGCAAAATTCATATGGAACATTTGGGATTGTATTTCAAAATTGGGATAGTGCGATTTCTTTGGGTTCTATAAATGGAGTTTTGTTCAGAAAATCTAGATAATAATGACTATTCTTCTGCTGGTGGATTGTGTTATTTATTAACAAATCTTATTTATTAACAAATCTTAAGTGTGTTTCTGTTAAAACTGGCTTTACATGTAAAACTTTATACTCCCACAATTGATAGGAGTTTTGTTACCAGTGAACCCAGAAAGGGGTCCAAGAGGCTTCTGTTTCACTTGCATGGACAGAAAAGAAAATACAGGTGTGATTGTGACATGCTTATTTTGCGTCACTGTGACTTTCAAATAAAATTGAATACTATCTGCATTCAGTAAGTGGCTAAATCTGAAGCCAGTGAAGGGTATCTTGTGATAACATAGGTGCTGCAGAAAAGTAGTGGAGATGTGCCATGTTTTCATCTGTGTTCTTCACCTAAAGGAGTCTGTGGGTGGGTCACTGCTCTCAGTCGGTCTTTTCCYCTATCCAATTCTGCATCTATTTGCTAACTTCATCCATCTGTGATAAGAACTAGGAGCATTAGTGTCATCCAGTGGCTGGGTAGGAGAAAATTCAACAAATTAGTGCAGATTTTTTAGAGAAATTTATTCTGTTCTGTGTTCATTCCCAGATACGTAAGTAGAGGGTAAGAGCTAGGCAGCCAAGGATAAGCAAGCAGAGAAGCTTAAACTGGATGACCAACTGTAGCTCTTAGAGCACTTTGTCAGCCACAGCTGA